TTTCCCCACCCATTCGCGCACACAAGACTAATCGCTGCCTGGAGATCGATCTAATGCCGACATTCTATATTTCCTTATCTTATGCGATAACCTAGTTGCATCCAGCCTTACCGGCTTCCTGATATTTCCGGGGGACTCTTCGTTAGCTCCTGGCATCGGCCTGCAAGTCCTAAACGCCCTGATAAACCTTTTGCTTGTGAAGGTACAGTCTCATTAATCAATGGACTGAGATTTCTGTCAGGTCGCCTTGTGGGAGCTCCTAAAGAGCACCTTGTTAATTTCCTTAACTAGCCTGATTTCGCATTGATTGACTTTCTCCTCTCCCCCTGCCTCTGCAGAACTACGCAATGCCCAACATGGTGGCCGTCGGAGTCCTCTCCATTTGGGCAGTCTTTCAGCTCTTCTACCTAGATGTGCCTTACCTTCGCAGAGACGCAAAGCTGACAACAGCAAATCTACCCGTTGACACGGAGATCGCTGTTGATGACTATTCAGTCGAAGGTTAAAAGATGAGCATCCCCCCCGCACCAAAGCTTTCACTTTCCCCCAAACCTGTTCTTTTTATGGTTTGTTACGCCCGATAGAATCATCTGTTTTTCTGTCTGTTATTTCAACTCAGGGACACTAGAACTTACAAAATCAGGATTATCTTTTATCCTATGTGTAATTTTAACAAAATTTAAATTCTCACAAATTTGTCACATGCATTTCTAACATCGGCTGTGAATAGCGCATCAATAAATAAAATTTATTTCGATGATTTCACTGGTTGCACCACTGCCCTGTGCTTCGAAAAATTTCTTTATTTGGAAGGTTTTAGCTCGACCTAGTCAGTTTTGCGTTTATGCGAGATGGAATGTTTACTCTCAGAATCTTACATAAGCTCGGAATGTAAGTTTTCTGCTATAACCTGAAGTTTAAAACGTTTCATCAGTCCTTCTATGTACGATGAAATCAACCTCTGATAGTACTGCAGCACGATTTGAGCCCATATTGTCTCGACGAAATTGAGTTCGATAATTGATTAGTTCGTCGTTGCGTTACACTCGCGTAATTAAGGTCACGCACGAGTGTACTCCGATAGGCTAATCGATTGACCAATGTGCTCGCTTGTGCGCGCGTAGAACAGAACGTTCTGCTGTCGGGCGCAAGACCTGTCGTCGTCGTTCTCGTTCTGCCGCCCTCCCCTCATTTCTATCTCTCGCTTTTATTTTTACCAAGTGTGATTAAGTTTATGTACAAACAAGCCTGTTGACTTCGCGTACACCACGAGCGAAAAAAATAGCGCAAATCTGCTATATATTTACTCGTCGGAAGTGTCGTCGTCTGACAGCTGCACTTCTGATAGGTATAAGTCCTCTTACGGTGACATGAATCGTCGGCGTTCAGTTCAGTGTTATTTAAGGAACGATAGGTGAACGCTTTTGGATTCGTACAGTGCACTAGCGTACAAGGAGCCTTCCATTAACCAGCGTTTTCGAAGTAAAATAACTTAATGGAAAAAAAGTAGTTCGGGTTATTGTATAGTATTGCTAAATACATTTTTTTTACAATGAGCTCGACGGTCGGTTATGGCAGCGAATTCAAATAAGCTGCTAAGACCCAGGCTGCAACAAAGTCCGTTCATAAAGCGGAATTCACGCAAAAGTATCA